GAAAGAGTGCAGTATTTTACAGCAATACAGGGAAGCACATGGATAATAGCACATCACCTCCTCTACACCCAAGAACAGAGAACACTCCAGGGGTACCAGCAAAAACTAAACAACTCTGGATAGATGCTTGCAACTCAGAGCACACAAATTATTACCAGTCAGAAAGACTACTTTCCTGCTTTATCACAAGGCAGAGAAAGTTAAGCTGCTAACTAGATGAGGAAAGAACTTGTAGCTGTCTGCCTGCCTGCCATCAATACTCAAGTTTTCCATTTAATGTCTTTTTTCTCAAGGTTTGAATTTGGCAGCTATGCTTCCCACTCTTTTAGGCCTTATTTTGTTCAATCATTTATATCAAAGTAAGACAAAGCTTGCCTCTATAATTGAGAGCTTTGACCACTCTGGAGTGGATTACTTATAACAGATAGAGCTGAATACTAAAAGCATCTAGAAACTCTGGATAGTCCCAAACATGGTTACTTGATTGTTTAACACTCTATTCCTTTGATAGCACTTCTGCTCCATGGCTGCAGATGTCCAATTTAAGATTTCATAACCTGTACAACAATGTTAGTCACCTGTAAGACTCTAAACAGGCTCTGCTGTCATCTGCCTCTTGTCACAGGACACACAAGCCAAGAGCAGCAGGGGATGCACAATTTCAAATCCCTACATGGATGGCTGGTTATGATCCCATTCTCTGGCTGCCATGAGGGACACAGCATAATCCTTTGAGCTGGAACAAAACAAGACATCAGTTTGTGTGCAAATTTTACTAAAAATATTTGAACAAGGTATTGCAAAGTTGGCAGTATTTACAACAGCTGCTGAAATATCCAGCACTTAAGCAATTCACTCAGGCATGGTTACAAACCACAAAAAGGGTAACAGCTTTTAGACACAGCATGTGCTGTATAAAGAAGAAATGGACTGCAAAGCCATTCACAAGATCTTGCCATCAGGTACCTCTGGACAGGTTCTAGGCTAGTCTGGAAATTCACCCAGGCACAACAGACTGGCCTCAGGTCAGTAAAAACCAACAGAAGAAAAGATGTGCACACTTACAGTCAGGATACAGCAGACAGAATGGCAGTAACATCAGTTTTCCACCAGGATTTAAGGAGTCACTGGGTTCATGGTTCTGTCTGTAAGAGCCACCACTTGCACAGACTGTTACATAAAGTGAAAGGAATGAAGACAGCTGCTGAAGATGTAGAGACATGTTAACCTAGGCTTGATCTTTTTTGGCACTGAAGTGCAAGTCATTCTAGTGGATGAACTAACTTCTGCAAAACACACTGGAATTTCATCAGTTCACTCTCAACATCCAAAGGGGTCTTCAGAGCTAGAAGTGATTGCTACCAGAGCACATGAACCTCTTGCTTTAAGCTGGATTATGTAAAACCCAGGACACCCTGGTGCAATGTTACAACCCTAAAAGTGTTTTTGCCTCTTCACTCTGTGCCATGAGGGTTTCACTGGCATACTTCTGAAGAAGTTCCATCTTCTTTCTCCGCACAAGAGCCTCCTCGATCTGCAAATACACAAGCAGGATGACACTCAGCTTAATTGAGATGCCAAAACCTACCACATGTTGCTGTTGAGCTGGGAGGAAGAAAAACAGGAAACAGCCTGTGAAAGTCAGAGGTGTGTACTAGTGTGAAAGTAGTTGAATTAAAAGAGTCAGGACTATCTTTTTAAATACTCTGCTGAAGCTCAAGGAAATCAAAAGCAGCAGTAAAATAGATGCCTCTGTTTCAGATCTCTGCTCTCACCCTTTTCAGTGAGGCTTTTAGCTGCCATTTGATTTCACTCTCAGCACAGTCACTTGAATTCTGTTTCAAACAAAGCCTCAGCTCTAGCTTTACCAAAAGCAGACAAGTGGAGTTGTGCCACAGTAGCCAGAGCCCTAAAGTCACAGTCTGGTGAGTGTGCCTTCCACCTCAGCAATGCTGGGCACCTCTTCCCTCAACCTTTTTCTAGAAGTGCCAGCAACACACCAGTCTCTCACCAGCATGGACTTGAAAGATCTAAGAGCAACCTGCAAGACTTGTTTTCTCTCATTTATATTTGCCCAAACCACACACATTCTCTCTCAAAAATAAATGTTCTGAACCTTAGCTTGTTGAAATTCAGAATCTAGCAGGCATATTCCCATTGGCATAAGTGATTTGCCACTAAAAAGAAGAGTATACTGACTGCTGTCTAATGAGAAGAAGTTTCTCTGCAAATCAGTGGTTATGTATTAGGAAGCCAGTTTGGACTCCCAGTTGTGCTGTCTTCATTAAGAGAAATCCATCAGCCAGAGAGCAATGTTTTTAATGGTTATTTCTCTGCTGCATTTTTGACCAGTCATTCCACGTAAGTTTTGTTGACTCTGCAGGATCCTGATGTCACAGCAAAATGCAGCATTGTTATCTGACAAGAAGCCAGCAGGGGACAAACAATCAGATGCCATCTGTGTGGTGTAAAGACAAACCCACCAAATGACACTCAACTCCAGAACCTTCTTGCCTGAGTGACACTTCAAACAACCTGTCCATGTTAAGGTAATTTATACCCTAGAGCATTTACAAAATATAGTAGTCAATCCAAGGTCATGCCACCAAATTAATTTTATAAAACTTAGGAGAACAAGCCCTGCAATTCGGAAATCATCCCATTAATTAAAAAACCCCCCTAGACCACCAGCAGAAAAGTAAAGACACAGTAGGCAATCAGGGCTATCCTGACCATAACATCACAACTCTTTCCAATTTATGTATTACTTATGAAGGTTTGGAAACTCTCAGATGAAAAGGGTTACAGCAATTCTGGCCAGTTCCACAGGATTTGCAAGAGGATTAAACAGCTGCAGAGTGAAGGCACAGAAATAAGAGGACATTTTTACTGATGACCTGTCACGTGTTAAGATTTCTGTCTTGCAAAAGCCAGAGTGCACATCTGCAACTTAACTCTGTTATGCCTTACCTCCTGCTGAGATGGCACTGGCACATGTGCAATAAATTTCTGTTGGCCTTCTTCACCTTCTTTATCCTTGTCACCTTCCTCATCAGACTGAAAAAATAAAATAAAGCCACATCAAGTTTACTTTCTGAAGGGGTCATCAAAAATACCTTTTACTTGCCCTGCCTGGAGGAACCAAAGAGAGATTGATTGATTGATGCTACAAGCAAAAACCAGGTGAATGGGAGCAAACAAAGGAATATGCCCAGCATCACATCCAGATCCTGCCCCTTGATGTTTTCAGGGCTGTTGCTTCCATTCTCCACGTGGCTTTTCCTCTGCTGTGGCCTGGGCATGAATGTAAGGCTATATTCCCTCCTCTTCCATCTCTCTCTGGCTGCCATAGCAAAGCTATGAACAAAAGAGGAGTTACCTAAGCAAGTACCTTAAAAATACATGTACTGTTGCCCTGTACAGCTCTGTCCTGCTTCCTTCTCATGCCTGAGAGCTGGGCTTATGAACCATGAGACAACCCAAACAAAACAGGGGACTGAAGGAACAACCAGTTTTACCCTATGGACTATCTCCTTTTTATTCTTGTGATTAAGTCATTTAGGTACAGATTGCAAAATGGGGACTTGTTTCCAGTATCCATTTTCTAGGTAACATCCCTCACTTGTCTTACTGGCACTGGCAGCAAGGAGAATGGAGAAGCAGGAGCCAGGCCACAGCAGTGACTGCAGAGCAGCACAGCCTTCCTCTGTCAGGACCCAACTAGACACAGACACTAGGATCCCTGGTTTTGCTGTGCATGAAATGGTGCTGCACACAGAGCTGCTTGTGCTGCTTCTGATGCAGCTTGTACTGTGAGGCAAGACTGAGCAGTGCTCAGTTAACAACCCCACAGACACCAGCACTCCAGGCAGCCACAGCACAACAAGCTCTCAGCTCTTTGCTGTTTCTCACTCGAGTAAGAAGTCTTCTCCAGCTGCCAACTCTCCAAAGTGGGACCACTCATCAGCTACTGATTTGTCCTGCACAGGGATGATTGGGCAGTAAGTTAGACACAGGGCAGAGTGCAGGAGCACATGGGTCCTTGGCAAAACAACCCTTCTTCTGAGAAGGCAGTGCAGAAGACATGAAATGTTACACCACCTTAGCCACCACATACCTCATCATCATTGACAGCGTAGATATTGACTTCCTCCTCCTCTTCCTCCTCACCTCTTGCAAGTCGTGCCTCTCTCTCCTGCTTCCATTTTTCCACCATTTCTGCTATAACTGGTTAGCAAAGGAAAATGACAAATGAATCTGAGAGCAAGCTAAAGCAGCATGGGCCAACTGCAGCCCCAGTTTCCCCCACTGCAGCTCTGCAGCAACTGAAGCTAAAGTTCCCTTGATTTCTCTACTATTTCCAAGGTTATCCCAATAGACTTTGATTTCTTGCTTAAAACTTCTACATCAGTGGCCACACAGACACTGTAGAACCTTGATGTACTATCTAGTAAGAGATATCCATGTAGCCTGACCAAAAGCCAGTGCCTGCACTGTGAAAGTGAGGTACTCATGCCTTCATTTGGGTACATTTTAGATTCTAAATGTCGTGGATAAATATCAACCTACTTTCTGAACTGAGTAACAGCCTGTGATATGACCTGGCTAAGCGGCTCTTACAGCCCTGCAGTATGTCGACAGCTATAGGAATGTTGATCACCCTGCAATTAATTAAACATGATTACACAATAAGTTTCTCTTAATCTCAATAGTGCATTTCTCATCTTTTGCAGCATGATTCCATTTCTGTAACTCACTGCTACCTAGGAGCTCTCAGGCTACTGTATCTCTACCATCCAGCAGAGTGCTAGTAAAACTGCTATAACTAGTTTTAAGAAGCTTAATCCGTGACATCACCAGTGTCCAGGAAGGTGCAAGATAGTAATTCCTTCTGGATCTCAAATATTAAACATTAAAAATGCTGTCTCTAAGAAGGAGAGATCTAACTAGCAGCATATGGCTGCACTGTTGCATGGTTTTGTAACAGAAAAGGTATCCCAAATTAAGTGTTCTCACTACTTTGTTTCACAATTTAACTCTTCTGCTAACAAGGTAAAAAAATAAATGAATGTAACAAACAAGTGACCCTACAAGAACCCTAGCTATGGTGCAGTATGCCTAATGGTTCTGTCAGCATCTCTAGCCTTGTTATTTTAAAAAGCAAAATCACCAAATATGCTAATTGTTTTAAATAACCACAAGAACCCAGAGGAGCCACCTCTCTGCCAGCAGAGAGCAAAATGTGCAGGACACACAGAAAGGGGGAGGCCATCCTGGGAGCACTGCACCCCACCACTCCCCTCCTGACACCAGCAGCTATCAGCCAGCCAGCTCTTCTCCACTTGGGCTAAGGCTGCAGGACACAGAGAAGTGAAACAGCTCCTTTATTGCCCTCTCCCTCCCTGTGCTACAATCCAGCTGCCAAGGAATGGTCACTGACACAGTGTTATGAAGATCTCACACATGGAGAAGGGATGAACATAAGAAGGTGACCACACTAAGTACTGGTAACAGTTAAAAGCTCAACAACTTCTCATCATTTAACAAGTTGCTTCCTGCAGCTTTGTTTAAAGTTTTTCTAATTCCAGAGATATAACTGTATACAGAAAGAAGCACAATTCCAGCAAAACACAATTGTTTTATCTGCTGTGTTCCATGGAAGAGCCTGCCAAGGGTTCCTATGCAAGGACACTTCCTACAGAGCACTGAGGATCTGCCTGAGTTGAAGCTTCAGAAGAACAGACCAAAAAAAAAACCCACAATAAAATAGCAACAAATGCCAGGATCAGAACACATTCACCAGAAGCACGAGGAGAATTCTGTAGGAAACAGCTTGAGCTTTTAAAGGTGGTGTGTGCTTTCTTCACAGAATGACAGAATCTTAGGGGTTGGAAGGGACCTCTGACAATCATGGAGTCCAACCCCTCTTGCTTAAAGCCACACAAATACCAGAAGATGGAACAGAGTGCTGAGTTTTAAAGAGGGTTTCAGGAATTAGACTCATAATCCTGATGTCTTTACCAGGCAAATCAGTAGAAACACAGCTAGAGAACTAAGTGTGCAGACACCTAGAGAAGTATCATCTATTGAGAAAGTATGGGTTTTAAAGGAAAAAATATTCACCTGTATTCAAGATCCAAGATATGGAACTCCATGTGGATAAATCAGCATAGGCCACTTAAGACTTACTTCAGAGTTTCCAGAAAGTCCTCCCTAATCTTCCCCACTACTAACCAACTATGGCTATATAATTAGGTGAGACAGGAAAAAGATGGAACAGTCACTTTTCACAAGGAGGGAACCAAGCCCTGGAGTTCCACAGATCTCCCAGCTGCAGCCTGCTCTGCTGCACTCTTCAGCACGACAAAGATATGGGGGAAATAGATTTTGCTACAATAGAGAATCACTCTGCTGAGAATATTAAGACATAAACAGCAGTCTTGATGAAAGGCAACTCTCCAGTACACCCCCTGGCCCCTGAAACACCTCACACAGCAGTGATCTGGGTGCAGCAGATGAAATCTGAGAGCTAAGCAGGGAAATAAAAAAGATAACTTTGGAGTCCACCATCACCCCTTCTTGGGCTGATTTATGCAGATTTTGAATCCCACATACCTTTCTTTTCATGTTCTTGTTCCAGTGGCTCCAGAATACCATCATCTTCATCCCTGTAGCCATAATATTCTGCATCAATGTTCTTCATGAGCTCAGCTCGAGTTTTGCGTGGCGGCGGGAGGGCTGGAAGGACACGACTGTCACCCACCCAGCTCCATCCTGACACCTCCCTGCACATTCCTTGCTCCCATCAACCTCACAGCAACTACACCAATAGCCACCACACCACCTGAGCTGCTGGGAGGGCTGGTGTTTTCCTCTGGCAGCTCCAATTCACATGGCACAATTCCCACCCTGGGGCAAGTCTGCCCTGTCCTGCACCCGGCTGGTTCTGCCCCTCAAGGCCTCTTTAGGGAAGGAACTAAAAACTGTCCCAAGCTCCCTCAGCTCATGTTCTTCCCATATTTTGTTATTTTCAGATGGCAAGTCAGAAGGAACCAATTCACTCCCAGGTCCAAGGAATTCCCACTCATTCTATGACAAACCAATATATAAAAGTTTTATCCACTTACATAGCTTTTCCTATTACAGAACCTGATCCTCAATGATGCTCAAGCCAACTTCCCTTTTCATTTTATTTTTTAATTCAGAACTCTAGAGTACTAGTTAACTTACCAAGTTAACCTGTTAAGGTGGAAAGTCTCCAAAGAACATCAGTCCTTACCACTTGAAACACCCCAGTGGAAGACAAGAGTTTACCCTTTTCTACATTTTCTTTTCACTGCCAACAGCCAAAAGTGCTTTTTTTGCCCAAAGAAACAGCATTTAGTTAATTCCTTCTCTTTGCTGTTTCATTCAGCATTCCCCACATTCCCTACAGCAGGCATTTTACTCCAGATACACCACCATGTAGGTTCATCTCTGGGAAGAGTTGCTATTTACTTACGTTCCTTTTCAAAAAGCTCCCTCACTCCTGGCAAATCCTTTGCAGCTCCAAAATATTTGTAACCTCTGTTTCCTGGAACTTCTTTCCCTTCATGATCCAACATTTTCGGTCCAATCCGCTGGAAAATAAAAGAGTTCATTTTTTAACATTTTATTCCTCTTGCATCTGACATTTCCTGTTTTCCTGGGCATTTAATAGATCCAAGGACTGAGACAGGTGATAATGCTCCAGCAGCTCAAACCACCCCAGAAATAAAAGGCCCCACAGCTCATTTTTATGCAGGTTCTCCCCCTTCACTACAAACCACACGTGTACAGGACCCCACAAAACCACCAGGCTGCCTCAGCTTGTCTCTTCCTCTGCACCATCTCCTCAGGTATCAGCTAAACAAGCCCCACTAAACCCCACAACAAGCACCCTTTGGATGTTTTGGCAAGTGAGAGCTAGAGTCATTATTTCATTTCCAGCAGCAGCTGGATGAGCCAAGTGAAAACCCTTCCACAGCCAGAGCACAACAGGGACCAACACCTCCTAATGGGCAAACCCAGACTTTGCTGCAAACTCTCACCACCCCTTGAACCAGAGCTCCAAATCAGAAGTCTAATTTTCTCATCACAGAAACAAGTATTTCTTCTAACACAACCTGATGTTTTTAGGGGCTAAATAAAGCTCTTCTCTAATAAATTTTGGGCAGGTAACATGTGGTTAACTAAACATTGCACAGGTTTTTCTCTAGTAGTCACTTTACTTGCAAGTAGAACAACCACATAGTACAAAACCATCTCTACTTACAGCGTAATCAGGACCTCCAAGCTCCTTTATTCTGAATTCCCAGTGTCCTTTCTCCCTCAGCAGTTTGTTTATTTCATCATTCAGGTCCCGGATTCTGAATTCACCTAATCCAGCTGTTAGAGGGGGAAAAAGGCAATAAATTAGGCAGCTTACTAGAAGCAACAGTCATTCCAGAATTTAGGCAATGGAAACAGTATAGTTGATAAGAAATGTGATTTTACTGCAACCACTTAGGACTGGAGATTCAAAAAATAAAACATAATTAGAAAAATCTTACCATTCTGAATCTGTGCCACTTTCTTGGAAATCTCCCCGATGATCTGGTTAAATAAGGACACAGAAGTTTAATTTCTAAAAGGCTAAGAAGCAGCCCTAGAAAGATCCAACTTCCAAGTTGGCTTTTTGAGCTGGAAAATGGACCTGAGCTTACCAATTTAAAATATCAACAGAGATTTTATTTAAGACACAAATAAAGCACCTCAGCGGCTTACAAACCAAGGAGACATTTTTACAGCTGTAGAGGCAAGGAGAGCAGGGGCACATGAGTTAAAGACAAAGGGTGAGAGAACTGGGTTGGATCTGCCTGAAGAGAAGACAAGAAGGCAGTAGGTTGTTGCTGTCTTCAACTGCCTGGTGGAGGGTCTAGAGATGACAGAGTCAGACTGTTGGAGAGCTGCATGACAACAGGACAAGTGGCAATAACCACAAGGAATGTGGAATGGGGGAATTACTAACTAAATGCAAGGAGGAAATCATTAAGAAGGTAATGAAGCTCTGGAGCAGGGGCCCCAAAACACTGTGAAATCCACATCCCTGAAGAGATTCATGGCCCTGAGCAACCTGATGTAGTGGGACCTGCCTTGAACACTGTGGTGAATTCTATGGTCTTCTAGTGTAAATGACTCTGTGATCTAACTGGAGAAGGCTGAAAAACACAGGTAAGCAGGTTGCCTGAGGAGGAGGTGCTGAAGCTCCACCTGCCACAGGACAGGAAGAATCTACAGGTTGCCATTACCTGTCGCCTCCACTTCTCAGCTTTAGGCAGCTCATTACACTCTGATGCAAGGAAAGGTCTTCGTTCCTGTTGGACAGAAAAGCCACACACCATCAGGTTCTAACCTGGCACTGATACACTGGCAGCATTCCATGCAAAATGGATTGCTTGGCTCATCCCAAACTATGCTACCAGGCTGCAGTGCCTTCTGCTCCCACCAGTTTCTATGAAGTGGGAGGCAATCATGCTGCACAACCCTGCCAACCAGCACAGAACGTAACACTCTGCCTGAATCCACTTTATTGACAAAAAATCATCAGTCACCTGGGTTGGTTTTTTTACAATCACCCCACAATCCTCTCCAATGCAAACACCACTCCATCCAGGACTGCTGAATCACACCATCACAATCAATATACCAGTATCTACATCAAACCTACTCTTTTCCAAGTAGCTACTAAGTTTAGGCCTTTTTTTCTAAGGGGCTGCTCCTAAATACTGTGATTTTGTTCCACTGTGATTTTGTGTTGTGCTCTCCCAACTACAGTTTATCCAAAACACCTTTTCTCTACATACAGGAACATCCAGAGACATATGAGAGTCAGTCTGAGGTTCTGTCTGGGCTCAGGGGTGCTACTGCTTTCATTACAGTGGGGAGGGGGGGGGGCCTTTTTTGTCAATTTTAAAGTTGCCAAGTCCATTTTTTGGATCAACCTTCCACCAACCAAAACCAAAGCAGCAGGATAGTGAAGCCAATTGTGAGCAGATGCACAGCTATTATGGGCTGGTGATAACATGCCAAGGTTCTGCCTCCTGCTCATGCTGCTCCTGAAGGCCTCTGTTCTGTTAAGGGCACTGACAATGAACAAGACCATGAGGAGGGTTTCTCTGCCTTTTCTGGGAAGAAATCCAAACCTTCTGATTATTGTCAGTAAAAATCAGTGTATTGATTTGTAGCTGCAAAAGGAGGTAACATCAGTCTCAGAAAGAATGTTCATTTTCTGCTCCCCATATTTATAGAATGACTGCAGCTGTTTGGTGGGGGCTGTTTTTACCAAACCATGACATATTTTACCCACATGACACAAAAAGATTCAGGGATTGCTTCATTCACCTTTCCTTCTCAGCAGCCAAGCCCACCCACCTCTGCAACACACACAGACATTTTTAAACAAGCAATTTAGCTAAGAAAAGCCTGGTGGCCACTCCTGTGTCCCTGTGAAGTCCAGCCCCTAACCCAGCTCCTTTCCTGTAACCCCTGCCAGATTCCCAGGGGATCCTGTGTCTGGGGTGTGACCTGAGAGCTGCCACACAGCTCTGCACCTGCCTCCCATCCTGCTCCTGAGCAGAGCTCAACAAACTTCAGGGTTTTTCACACCATACCTTGACTTTTCCTTCCTCCAGCTGAGCTTGCCGGAACCTGGCCAGGGCCGTCCTGGGGAGAAGGAGATTTCCTTGAACCTTTGAACCAGGGCATGTTCAATGGCAGCTCTGCCCTCATCAACACCAGAAATCCTCATTCTCCTCAGAAATGTAATTTATTGGGAAAACATAAGCCCTGGTAAGCAGCTCACTGTGCTTTCTGCTGAGCACCTGCCAGCACATCAGGCCCTGGCAGCAAAAGGAACAAGTTACAAGCACAGAGTTTACAGACCCTAGCAGGGGCTACATCACAAAACAAGCAAACAAAGAAGAAAAAATAAAACAAGCTCCAGTTAGAAGAGCTGCAGTTGGACATCAGGTTTATCCGTGAGACACTCTGAGTTTCTCACGACTAAGCAGAGACCCCACACAGCAGTGACATGACACGCAGCTTGACAGGGCACTGAACAGCTCAGAAGCACAGAACAACGGAGAGCACCAAAAACCTTCACCAGCACGTCTGTAACAGCCACCCAGGCAGCGCCTGCTGCTCAGAGGCGTTTCTAGATTGGACATCAGGTTTATCCGTGAGACACTCTGAGTTTCTCACGACTAAGCAGAGACCCCACACAGCAGTGACATGACACGCAGCTTGACAGGGCACTGAACAGCTCAGAAGCACAGAACAACGGAGAGCACCAAAAACCTTCACCAGCACGTCTGTAACAGCCACCCAGGCAGCGCCTGCTGCTCAGAGGCGTTTCTAGAACGAATATCTGACGCAGGTACCCGGCTCGGGGGGGTCAATTCCTGCACAGGCTCGGGAGTAGGAACGAGGGGAGGGACCCCCG